TTCCCAGAACCCTTTCATCAGTATGTATTTCCAGAAACCACATTAACATAAAATAGATTAGTGATGTCTTGAGCTTTATGTGGACAGATGCCCTTCTTATGTCCTAGTGTCCATTTATTTGTGAAAATTCAAAAGTTTTGTTGATTCACTTTTCCCATTTTGAGTCTAAATAAATATGTTCAGTCATATCTATTTATATGGGATAGCTTCCACAGAATCACTATTATTATTATTAAAACCTGTTATCTTTTTCTTTATCACTTCTCCGATTTCTTTTCTTAGCTCAATTCACAAATCCTTTCTTGGCTAGAATCATTATCTTTAAATAAGTGACTTGCGTTATTAATGACACTCTTCACCAGCACCGTAAAGCTGAGTTTTTATTAGTTTTTAATTATAAAAAACCTCTTTTGACCATTGAATGGGTGACTAAATAATAGCTTAGGGTTACAGGCTATCAAATTTGTGCAATTGTGGCAAAAGTAGTCCCAATTGTGTAGCCTGAAGTAAATTTTAAGGAGACAGTTGAAAGAAAAAGAAAATCTTAATTGAAAAAAAGCTAACACTAGTGACTTGATTTATTTTCGGAATCTAATGTCTTATACACACTCAATGTCATACTTTTTCCTATTTTATTTTATTAGTCTGTGTTCATATAAATATTTTCATCTTTAAAATATCAGAATTCCTTGGTTACCTTTATTATCAAACTTTTAATTTTATCGGTCCTCTTATTCACCAATTGATTAGAAATTATGATATTTACACTACATTTTGACATCATAATGAATACAGAATATATTTTGAAGAAAGATTGTAAGAGTCAGTGAAAGTGCAAGGAAGGTAAGACTTCTACTCATGCCATATTTAATGATCTACTTGTGTTTATATTTTTCCATTATGACATTCTTTTTTATTGTATTTCTCAAAATAATTTCTTCTTTACAAAGAATATTGACTTTTAGTCTCAGTCACAGACACATTGTATACTAAAATAAAGAACAGTACAATGAAGGCATTTCTCAAGTTCTGGATTTCTGTATAAATTGGTAGTGAAGTCGTCAGCTAGTTGAGTGTGACCCTTTTGCTCCGAAGGCCAGCTGTGCTTTTAAACATTCATTGTGGAAAGTCTCACCAGAATCACCTAGTTCTATCCCATCCATAATAAGTCAGAATCTAGGGGTAGACTGGAAGGGAAAAGAGACCATATTCCAAGTATTTTTGAAGCTCCCTTGGTGATTCCAACCAGGATAGTAAATGACTAGAATAAACATTTCCATTCCCCCACCAATCCCTACTCTACTCAATCGAAATTTTGAGCAATCATAGATTTACTTCTAATAATCTGTATGACGTATGACTCTAATTTTTCCATGTGTAGATAGGTGACACCCTGGTAACTTTCTGAAAGTTTAATAAGACTAATTGGTTTATGTAATAACCAATCAATTCTGAGTACAGAAAGGAGGAAACAAGTGTTTAAGAAATAAGTTGCAAGACTTCATGATCTGCAGTTTGACTAACTTTGCCCTAATGGAATAATCTTCAGGAAAAGAGGTTGTGTGTATCTGACTTTTATGTAACTAAGCTCAAAGAGGTGGAGAAGTAATCCAAGCTAAGTTTTTGAAGAAAGACCACTACACTGTGAATTAAAAATTATGTCTTAAACAGGTTGTGTTGTTTTGAAAGAGCTCAAGTTAGTGTCCTAGGGATTTAATTGGTAATTTAGCAGCCTTGGAGGCCTCAAACTTTTGGAGATGTCAACACTTCTAGGACTCCTAACACAAGTCGGCAACTACTTTTTGTGTTTTGTACTTGACTTTGATAGATCTTTTCAAAATTATTTGTAATATGAATGTAGTAAGAAAGAAGGAATAAGTAATTCATAGATGAGTTATCTCCCCTAATTCTTCAAATATTCTCTTTCAATCCTTCTAACTCATCAACTTCTTACAGTGCCAAGATCTTTTGTTTATTTGGTTGGTTGGTTGTTTTGTTTCTGTTTTAGTTTTTTGCATGAACACTTTATCAACTGCTTTGTCACTCTCTTTCTGGTTCACCACAGCTTTCAGAGCAACCAGAAAGTGATTCCTTACTCAGCTGTAGAGAATTCTGAAGGTACTTTATCAGCATGTACAGTTGGAACTGCTTCTTCTATATTCCTTTATTTCATTAGCAACTTTGCCGGGGAAAACTCTTTTTGCTCCCAGTAGAGCTTCATTTATATCCAACTTAGCCTTTTTCTAGAGACATCGTTCACTGTATATCATTATGTTGCTTATCATAGAGGAACACCTTAACAGAAAACAACATAGGTAGTATTAAGGAAGAGAATATGTGGGTTGGGTGTGGTGGCTTATGCCTGTAATCCCAGCACTTTGGGAGGCTGAGACCTGAGGTTAGCTTGAAGCCAGGACTTGAAGACCAGGCTGTGCAGCATAGAGAGACCCCCATCTCTTTAAAAAAAAAAAATCAGGGACATGACACTCATTATAAACCCGTGTCTTAATTTAATCAATTTATTTGGTTAAGAATAATGGTATTATTTTACATTAACCTGTATTTCTTGGCTTTTTATATATTTTTGCATAGAGACATTTTAATTACCAATTTTAACTCACTTATTTATAGTTTGTAAAAAAAAATAGCTTCAATTAAAACTGAAAATGACCTCTCTTTGTGTCTTTAAATGTAATTAATGATGGTTTCTCCAAAAGTCTACTTTTCAGGGAAAAAACTTAATCTCTAGGATTTTTTTTTTCCAAAAATAAGTAATCTTACACTCACAAACATGAATTCTAAGAATCTACTTTTATTATTATTATAAAGATTAAATATTATTTTTGCATTTGAAACCAAGTTTAGCCAATAACCCTTTCAAGACGTTGATCAGGATAAGAGGTGGATGTGAGATCTAAGATGATAAAAAACTGGCAACATACCAGAAAGCTGTTTACTAAGTTAATCAATTATATTTATTCAAACTTACCAGATATTTCTAAAGCTCCATGAAAACAAATTCAGGAGATCTGTCCTTAATTCTGTCTACTGACTATAATGTTGGGTAAACAATTGACCTCAGTTTTTGTGTCTATAAAATGATGAGGACTTGAGATGTTAGAATTCTTCCTGTTTGTATGATTCTATGTCATTTTGATTGTTTCTTTGCTTCCCTTTATTATTATAAATGATTAAGACTGTTGGTAGAATTTCCAAGTTTTTCTTCATTTATGAAAATTTTTTTGAGCTGACACTATGTCCTAGACAGAGTACCTTTATTCAGGGAGCTCATAGACCTCCTAGGTTGGTAGGAACTTTCACAAATAACGAGAATGAAATGTTATTTGCGCCATTATGTTAGAGTTGAGATTGTCTATTTTTGTTTATATGACGCAAGTTTTCTTTAGTAGGTCTTACCTGGGAGATGGAATAATGGAAGGAAATAGCTCCTGTTGTGGTGCATGAAATTTTATGGAAGTTATTAAGACAGGATATATATAAGATGAAGTAATCATAAGAAACCGTGTGGTTGTTTTGTATTTCAGTTACTGATATGAGCCATTTTGAAGGAAGCAGTTTACTGTGGTTTCCTGAGAACCACAGTTTAATTTCTCCTGAAGAAGCTTATTCTCGCTTTTCTTTTAGGTACTCTGTACACTGATAATACCACAAGTTAGAAATTCACAGAGACATATCATCATTGTTTTATTAATCATTTTACAAAGATCTGATGGCAGTGATGGTATCTGCCTTTAAATTGCAGGGTTTATAAACAAGCACCCACAGTAAATGCTTAAACCTCAGCAATTCACAAGCCTTAGTGAACTGTACAGCTTAGTGAAAATAAATCTCCTGAGTTCTTCTAGAGGTAGTCGTACAAACTTCCTTATTTATGGCTCCTGCCTCAAACTGGGCCAGAATGCTTAATTAAACCATGTCACATCCTAACAGGACTGAAACAAATAAAATGTAAGTGGAACAGGTTACCATGAAACAGTAACTTCTTTGAGAACAGAGGTTACTTAGGGAATGAGGAGCTTTTGTTCAGGGTGGTCACCTACAAAACATGGGGCTTCACTGTGGGCTCTGAAGGACAAGAATCAAAGTCTGGGTGTGGGTGGAAGAGAGAAAAACCATCTGTGAAAGCACATGTTACCGTTACTGGGGAGAAGGGAGACGACAAAGGACCCAGTAGCAGATGCCAATTCTCTTACTACAAACACTTTATCGAATATAAGGGCCCTTGTATATAACATAAAGCACTCATACCCAGTCTTTCAACACAAGGGGCAATATTTTAGAACTTTCAGCTTTCATAATAGAAAACAGAACAAAAAGATAAAAGAATACTTTGTAATATGCTAATATGACAAATTTTTTTGCCATTGAAGGAAGCTTGACAATTAAGACTAATGCCCCTTAATGTCTGTAACTGGCTTTCACACAGGGGCCCTCTGGGTTATGTATATTCTTTAGTAAGTTGTATAAGAGACTCTGAAACAATGTAGCCACTCCAGTGATCTTTAAAATTTTATAAAACTTTATTTTTGATCAGGACATTCAGATAATGACACTTCTTAGTTTTAATCACAATTTTCACTTAGAATCAAACAGAAGCTCTTTTAAAATGCGCTTGTTTTATTTCTCTTCTTTCATGTCTTAGATGAATATTTCCCGTGCTTCATTTTCCATCAAGCATCCTCCCTATTTCCAAAGTGGGTTCAGATAACTCAGGATATTTCAGTCTCTTGGATGAAAGAATTATTCATTGAATAACTGCTATGAGACAAATTTTAAATTGAGAGATAAAGATTATTTACTGAGTAAAAAAATATTGTCTCTCAAGTAACATCTCTTTTAGATAGATATTTAAGGTTAATGTCAATGGAAAAATTAGAGTACATAACTGGATTAGGTATCAAACCTTGTAAATTTTTTTTCTTTTTTCTAGGACATAGTAGATGTGTATATATAAATATATATGGGGTACATGAGATGTTTTTATACAGGCATGTAACATGAAATAGCTTATTGCTTTTTAAGAGAGGTTGTAGACTTTATGATAGGTAGGGTTGGCTCAGGTGGAGAGGATGTCTCAGAGGTCGAACACAGAAGCTGGTGAACAGCTTGGCATGACCAAAGTGGAAGGAAGGTAGGGGTTGGAAATAAAGTTGGAGCACCTACAGAACAAGGAAGTAGCTGAACAGAATGAAGCAAAAAATAAGAAGGTATAGAAGGTTCTCTGTGATGAAGAAAGATTATGAGGAGGAAGCAAAACTGTCAAGTCACCCAGGAGACTATTATGGTAATCCAAGAGAGAGAAACAGGGCTTGGACTGGAATGGTCATACCGGAAGAGCAGCAGGGAGGAAAACAGGATGGTTATCAGCACTCAACTAGGAATAAAGAAAAAAAAGAAGAGTGAATAAAAATAACTTTAAGGTTTTATATTTCAATGATATTAAAAAATGGTGGTCATTGACAGAAATACAAATTACATGTGAAAGTCAGATGGAAAGTAAAAACACATTGCTTTATATGTGGTAAGTCTGAAGTGGTGGCAAATGATGTTTATTTTAGTTAATTGAAGATACTTTTTTATATAAAAAGCCAATACATAAAAATATAATATTTCTCTTTGGGTATGTTAGGAAGAGTAAGACATTTAGAATTTGGAGTCCTTAATTCAAATCTTAGGTCTACCAAATTCTGGATGTCTGATCCCTGGCCTCAGTTTTCTCATCTGTAAACTGAGTTAATAATGATAATTATATTTACACACACACATATGAAACAGAGTAATTCTAAGGACTAAAATGAAAATGTTTTTGAAAGCACTATTTGCATAGCAATATTACTTATTATAGCACCAGATAGTCCCCCTTTTTATGAGCGAGGACTAAAAGAAATACCCTTACTACTCAAAAGATTTAAAATGTCCGTGAAGGTATCATATGAACTCGTTGTTTTTAATATATGCACAGACAGATATAGAAACAAATACATAGAGTTGTGTGTTGTGTATATACATACATATATTTCCTACCTCATTTCACTTAGAGGGCCTAGAAGCAAGGATACTTCAGTAGTAATGAGCAAACCTAGCCTACATCTTGGTTTCCAAATATAATTTTCCAAGAGAAGAAAATATAACTTGTTGGGAAAATGGCTGATATGAGTAAGAACAGGCTCAGAAAAATGGTGAGGAATGTTGCCCTGAAGCAGCTCTCACTGACTGAATACAGAGAAGTTTGAGCAGCAAAATAACAATAAAAATAAATAATAACTCATGGAATAAAAGAAATATCTATGGGTCTTTAGTAATAGAAATAAATAATTGAATAAATAAGTAAATTAATGGAGGAGGAGGGACAGACTTTTTTATAGTAGAATTTCATTGAATAAATCTAGAAGAAATATGGAAATTATAAATAGCACAAGGGCAATCAGCAATCTAGCTTGTGTTCAAACTATCAAAAATTGTATTAGCAAACTCTTCAATTTTAGAATTCTGTAAAAATTAACCCATTGTTTTTAAGTCATCATAGAGGGAAAAACTTGAGACACAATTGCCTTTTATAATTTAGAATGACTTTTGCTGTCTCTTGAACTCCCAGGTGTATTTAGAAAAAAGATTATGTTATGGAATTGCCATTTTTAGGTGTTTATTCTAAAGATAAAATGGAATTACAAGTGCAGAACAGAATTTTTTTTAAACGTATGTCTGTAAGTTTTACATAAATAATTATTTGAGGAGATGGCACATGCAAGGAACTTCTATATAGTATACTAAATGTTATAAACAAACCTATCAGAACACCATTTTGTTCATGATAGTACTATTTTTCAAATATTTGAAGTTGGCCTTTTAAACTCTATGTCTGCATGATACTGAACGTTGTACTTTTGAGATATATAATATTGGCATTGATGCAATGCATTTCTTATTTTATCATTTTATTCTTGATTCTTTTTGAGTAAAATAAATTTAAAAGACCCTTTTTTGAGGTAATGGGTGGAAAGTAGATTTTAAAAATTTTGTTGATGATATTAACTACATGATATTTAAAATAACAATTGCAACTGACATTCATTGACCACTTTCTATCTCCCTTCTGGTTTGCAAAATTATAACTTTATTCAGTTTGAATTACTTAGATAACTGTCTATTCTTCCACTTCTTTTTGCCATGAGTCTGTGCAGGTATCTGTATAATATGCTCTTTCTGTTTCAGTGTTAATAATTTTTTAACTGAGATCCACTATTTTCCACTTTGAACTAGGGTTCAGTAGGATGAAAACTAACTTTGTCTTTTACTTATCACACTTGATTCTCTTAATAATTTCCATAAGCAGGCAGCTGCTCTTCACATACAGATAGTACTCTTAAAACTAACAAATCACTCCCTTGGTCCCTCCTAAAAAGACACTCCATTTCTCATTTTAATTAACTTTGCTACAGCATGCCCAAACTCAGTACAATTTTTTCTTCTGTTTTCTTTGTCTTTAATATTGTCTTTAATATTTCACTTGTCTCTATCAATTTGTCTTGGTAAATATTTATATATGTAATATCTGTTCACTTTTGAAAACGAAATTCTCAGTTTTAGTCAAGCGTAATGATACTACAAGTTGAGCGAACTGTGATCAAAGAGCATGATAATTCCTGTATGAATGCTCCATGCATGTTCTTTACATAACTAAGCAGTATAGTGACAACTGAGTGTGTTTACCTGGGAGAACTTTAGGTATTTTCCCTAAGCCCATGTACTTTGAGGTCTTTTTTTTTTTTTTTTTTTTTTTTGTCTTTTTTGAGACGGAGTTTCGCTTTCGTTACCCAGGCTGGAGTGCAATGGCGCGATCTCGGCTCATCGCAATCTCTGCCTCCTGGGTTCAGGCAATTCTCCTGCCTCAGCCTCCTGAGTAGCTGGGATTACAGGCACACGCCACCATGCCCAGCTAATTTTTTGTATTTTTAGTAGAGACGGGGTTTCACCATGTTGACCAGGATGGTCTCGATCTCTTGACCTCGTGATCCACCCGCCTCAGCCTCCTAAATTGCTGGGATTACAGGCGTTACTTTGAGGTCTTAATGTGCAAGATGAGAACAACATCTGGCCTGGAACAGCCTAATTCCCTGATGGCCTAGGATTTGACAAGCTTGTTATGTGCCTAATAACCATAGGTTTCTATATCACATCACCCTTGCCTAAGACACAATAGATACTCTACTGATCCTAGATATCCAATTACTATTTTTGTGTCCTAAACTTAAACTTCAAATTTGTCGCAAGTTAGTCTTCTGAATCAAACCTAATGAGAAGTTTCCTTAAGCAACGAATAGATTGTATCAAGGCAGAAACAGTTATTTGAGAATGAAACAGAACCAGAGCTTTGAACACCTTGCTTATAGCTATTTTCAATTTTGTAAATTAACAAGGAGATTAAAGATATTGTGAAGAATGAGATAAAAAAAATTCTGGAAAAATATTTGTATCTTCCTTTGTACCATTTATATTTAAATGTTAATGTACTGTGTTTCAATCTCAAAATCACACAAATGTTTAAAAATGATGACAGCTTTTAATGAATAGTTTTATTAACTACTAATCCTGCTGTTTTCAATTCAAATTTCTTAGTCTTTGGAAGGCTTGAAACTTTTCTCTTGGATACCTGACATCTACTACTTTAGGCTGGCAATCCTCTGTCATTACTCCTATCTGCACTGTTTTCCTTTCCCCTTCATCTTGAGCCTTGTTCACACTCAGTGCCTGCTGGTGGCATGTTTAGCTGCCCTGAAGCTTAGCCTCTGTAACTTTCCTGTTCTCTTTCGATTTGACTTTGATGAATGTCACTTAAGCTCCTACGTGAGAAAACTGTACACACCAGTGACCCAGGCATCTGAATTGTCCGGGAATAGACTGCATTACTAAAATCTAGGTTCTATTCCTTGTTAGACATATTAGCGTCCCAATGGCTATAAAATATTTGATCCCTGATATCTGTAGGTTTCTCTTGTTTGAAAGCTGCTAAAAAGCATGCACATCATTGGAATGCAAAAGTAAAACAAGAAGTAGAAGTGTGAAGCTCATTTAGACTTTTAAAAACTGGTCTAAGTGATTGTGGCACGTCAAAGTACTTTATAGACTCCTAAGTGGAGACAAACCTGTAAAACAGAACACCAAAGGCACAACTCTGTTTCAATAAGCAGTATATTGTAACTGAGTTTAAAGCCCCCTAACATTCCTGTACACTAAAGCACAGTAGATTTAAATGGGATCTTTGTGATTCCACATATCCTAAAGAAGCAGTTTTTCTCTGTGTGAGACCACATGGATTTTCATAGAAGATTCAGGGATGAAAACACATCCGGGCAAGATATAAGAGTGAAATGTATAGACAAAAGGATTAAGGATTCAAAGGCTTTTTTCTTCTTTTTCCCCTTTCCCTCTTTGAACTCAACTATCATTTAGAGCCACAGAATGGATAGGTCAAGAGTTTGACCGAACAGAGTTGTAAAGTCAACTAGGAAAATATTTTTACCATATAAAAGAAAAAATAGAATACTATCCTGAGATGTCACAACTATCAGACCATAGGGTGTAATGCAACTTGATTAGAGGTTTATTTTTTCTAATTAGCTCATTTTGGAGTAGATTCTTTGAGAATACTCATCCTTGGAATTGTTATGATATGATGTATATGCATATATGTACGTATGTGGACATATTTATCTATATTCTATACAGATCTATTTATCAAAATGCATTTCCATTTTTATGTTTGAATAATGACTCTCCCTTCACTTTTTTCTCCCAGAGTTTTCAACGTATTGAATTTACAGTATTGCAGTTTTACGGTAGTACGTACTTCAAATGTACTTAAGGGAATGATCATTTGAAGATTTGGCTAAGGGATAGATCCTTTAAATAAATATGTGAAGTTGATAGAAAGTTTTTTAGATTAAAGAGTACTGAAATTTAAAGTATAGACTTATTTCACAGAACTACTTTGTACCCTCGAACTATACCATGTGCATAATGGTAGCTTCTCATCCAGACAGAGTCCATGAGATGATGACTCTAACAGGAACATGGGATCTGACATTAGATCTGTGGGTTGAGTGGAGAGAACTGATCTAGAGTAGATCATACTGGGTCCTACAGGGTATCCAGGCATGATATCACATAGTTGCTTCATCCGCAATGTATGAAACAGTCAACATTGGGGTTCTCACTCCAGCAGGGGGATACAGCAATGGGGAATTCCAGCAGCCATCAATACTTGGGAATTAAGCAAAGAGGGGCTGATCATTGGTTTTTGGCCATCATGATACTACCCGCTGATATTGATTATGGGACAAGGCTTCAGTATTGGGAAAGAAAAATGTTGTGATGATTCTACCTTGGGAGATGGTACTTACAAACCTCTCTATGGCAGCCCTCCAGCTGGGGAGATGTACTAGAGTTTTGGTCATCCAGGCCAAATTTACAAGCAAGAGTTAATCCTCTTCACTGACACCAGGAAAAGGAAAATGGAGTTATATTTTGAGGGCAACTTAATTTTTGGTTGTTTCTAGATATAGATGAAGGTATAAGGACTTGTTCCTAAATGGTTAGTAAGGTAGGAGAACAGGAAAGCATAGTTTTCTGAAGATAACTTCATTGTGAGTCAACATTAGATGAAAGTAAAAAAAAAGTTTGACCTTTTATTCTGAAATTAGAGGTGAATGGAGACAACAGGTGAGATGTATCAAGGGATCCAGGCATGAGAAACAGATCCTGAGAAGAATAAGAGCATATAGGCTCTATACTCAACTTTTTTACAATGATTTATTATATTATTGAATTCTCACAATGGGGTAGATATTCTTAATCTCATTTTTTAGGGGAGAAAAATTATGTTTGAAAAGGTTCATTTATTTTTACTCCAAATTTTATGGCAATAAATACCTTGTGTGACAGACTCCAGATGCCAGATTCCAAAACTCATGCCTTTTCTCTAAATCATGCTGGTCTATGCCACCACATAATATCTGATTTGTAGTATTTTTAACTTAAATTGTAGGATGGATAATAAACAAAACTTAGATCCATCCGATTCAAAAAGAGAAAAAAGAATTGAGTTGAGAAAAAATAATCATAGCTAGCTTCCTGTGCAATGCTATATACAAGACACTGTCTTAAGTACTTAAGATGCAGCGACTTATTTAATCTGTTCACAACACCATGAGGTAGAAACAATTATAACTCCCTTTTGTCAAATGAAAAAAGGTTTAAGAAGGAAGGAAGAGGTAAGACTTTAGACGACCTGAATCTGTGCTTCTTTAACTGACCTTATAATACTCTAAAGGACAGTAGATGGGATGAAAAATATGTATCACCAAGTTACACAAAAATATTTCTAACCTTTCAAGGAACAGACAAACAAAATGGAGGGGAGTCTCTGAAGAATTATCATGTAGTTTACGCTACAGCAAGGTCTCTAATAATAAAATCACAGGAAGAAGAAGGACAGAAGAGCTAGAGTTATCAAGTGCTGAAACTGTCTATACTACTAGCATCTCCAATGATCAAAACAGCATCAAGGCCGGTATCTAAGTCTTAGATGTCATCAAGAGGAATCTCTTGTAACAGTGAAGGAGAGGTGAGGTAGATTCCGACCCAAGGTATCATATGATTGGCTAGTTTGGAGTTAGTTTATTAAACTGCAATGAAAGTAGCTCTAAAATTTCCTGAAAGTTTTTTTGTTTGTTTATTTGTTTTTTTTTTTTGTTTTTCACTGCAAGCATAGAGAGAACTCAAGGACAAAATTCAAAGTAAAATGAAAAAGGAAGGCTACTGAGGTATTACCGACGACAAACATGAAAAGTTGGGCAGTGCGTAGAGGTCTCTGAATGCCTCTTCTGCTCTGCTGAACAGTGAGGTCAAGGTATCTGGAAGACACATTTATACTACAGGAAAATTGATCCCCCCTTATCTTAGTGCAGAATAATAATAAACTAAACTATATCAAGTTCCAGAGCAAGGATAAAAAAACCTTCTACCTTATCAGAGATGGTTTTTAACACTTGATCTCCAGATCAGCTAAAATCGAATGTTATTAAAATAGAAAGGGCATATTTCAGTAAAATTGACATTTTAAAATGTCAGTGGTTAATGAAAGCCACAGTCTCTCTTATTGATAATTCTTTTTTTTAGGGAGAATTTAGGACAAAATTAAACTGTCATGACATACTTTCTGGTCTACTAAATATAACATGACCTTTGTATTTAGTAAAACTTGACAAAATCAGATAAGAACTTTGCCATGTAGTTTGAGTTATCAAATATGAAGTCAGATAAATTTTAAAACCATAGAAACTTAAAAGTTGGAGATTCTAATAACAATTTTGCATGTTCTTCACATGTACCCCAAAACCTAAAATGCAATAAAATAAATAAATGGGAAAAAAAAGAAGTGACATAACAGAATTTTTGTGGTGCCCATTTCTTCAGGATGCACAGTTACTATAATTAGCATATATGTGAATTACTGATGTTTCATAGTGGCAAAGAATAAAGAGCTCCACCTGGATACTTGAATGGGTTGTTGGTCAAGAACACAAGTAGAAAATGTACATCCTTCTATGAGTATTTATTGTAGGCTGATAACTGTGAGGTATTTTTGCATTTATGAGATGCTATATTATTGATGGTGGTTGTCTCTAAAAGTTTAGCATTTGCTTTGAAGGTAAGGCATGTTAGAAGTAAAGATACCTATGAAAAATAAAGAAAAACTGTGGAGAGAAGGGAAGCAAGTGAGTGTCATAGATTAAAGGCCATGTCAGTAAAGTGATGGCCACACAGAGGTGATGGCTGTGAGGAGGATTAGACATGATGGTCAAGGATCTAGTGATGGATCCATCACTGGAAAAGGGGAACCAATAATGAAAGAATGCAGAGAAGCTCTACAGGGTGGAAAGTGTGGAATGAAAGGAACTTCTCACTACATGTAATACCTTAGAGGCCAATGATGGCCAAACCATAGAGCCTCTCCTCTTCTCTCTCTCTCTCTCTCTCTCTCTCTCTCTCTGTGTGTGTGTGTGTGTGTGTGTGTGTGTGTGAAGACATTTATTATAAAAGTAATCCTGTTGGACCTCTAGAGAACAATAATTATATTTCTCTGACATTAGCAATGATTACTCTCCATATGTTTTATAGCCACATTGATGGATATCCTGATATATCCATGATGCAATCAACAGTCTTACTCTTACTTCATGAACCATCTTTTGGTTTGCGGCTACTAATGATCTTGTGGCCATTGCCATTTTTGTTCTTTTCATTTCTTCTCATGTTCAGATGGCTACCAACAGACTCAGTGCCTGGACAAAATTCAAACATCTGAAAAATAATCATATAAGAACTAACAGAATAGTAATGTGACCAAAACTAAATCACGTTTTTGTTTTGTTTTTTGAGATGGAGTTTCACTCTTGTTGCCCAGGCTGGAGTGTGATGGTGTGATCTCAGCTCACCACAAACTCTGCCTCCTGGGTTCAAGTGATTCTCCTGCCTCCGTCTCCCAAGTAGCTGGGATTACAGGCATGTGCCACCACGCCCAGCTAATTTTATATATTTAGTAGAGATGAGGTTTCTCCATGTTGGTCAGGCTGGTCTCAAACTCCCAACCTCAGGTGATCTGCCTGCCTTAGCCTCACAGAGTTCTGGAATTACAGGCGTGAGCCACCGGGCCGACCCCAAAATCATGTTTAATGGTAATTGGATAAATGGCTGCAGATTGCTATTCTCAGAGACTCATGAAGCATTTCTGTGAGTACATCAGTAATATTACACATTGGTCTCTTTTTATTTAAATGTTGTGTTTGGGCCTGCATATAGCGCGGGATAAATAATTGTGGGAAGAATGAAATAAATGCTTGCCGAAACCTCTCATATTTTAAATATGTGAAGGAAGTTTTTTTTATTATTCATTTAGTCAGTAATCAATTATGAGTACCTGCTATATAGGGGCACTGTCAGGAGCACTAGGGGCAAACAGACAAAATATAGTGTCTGTTCATAAAAAGACAATTAAAATATAGGGTAACAATCACCATGATGGCTCTGTGTCCACAGAAGGCCCTAATCCCATTGGCCAGGCAGGGCTCCCAAGAGGAGTCTTATAAATGCTGAGAGGGAGGGAGGTGATCCAGGTGGGGAATAGTTATTAATAAAAGTCCAGAAGAAATTTCAAGAGAGAGAACACAAAGATGAGATTATGAAAACCGAAAGATGCTGAGAATGGTGGTTCGTACCTGTAATCCGGCTCTTGGGAGGAATGCTTGAGTCCAGGAGTCTGAGATCATCCTGGGTAACATGATGAAACCCTGTCTCTACCAAAAATACAAAAACTAGCCAGGTGTGGAGGTGCATGCTTGTAATCCCAGCTACCTGGGAGGCTAAGGTAGGAGAATCGCTTGAGCCTGGGGAGGTGGAAGTTGCAAGGAGCTCCACTGCACTCCAGCCGGGTGGCAGAGCCAGACACTGTCTCAAAACAAATGAACAAACAAAAAACCAAAAACTAGGCCAAAAAAGATTAGCTCAGAGAGGAGTCCATTCTACATTATTAAGGATTTGGCTTTTTTTTTTTTTTTTTTGAGACGGAGCTGGAGTGCAGTGGTGCAATCTCGGTTCACTGCAACCTCTATTTCCTGGGTTCAAGCGATTCTCCTGCCTCAACCTCCTGAGTAGCTGGCCACCATGCCCAGATAATTTTTGTATTTTTAGTAGAGATGGGGTTTCACCATATTGGCTAGGCTGTTCTCAAACTCCTGACCTCAAATGATCTACCCAACTCGGCCTCCCAAAGTGCTGGGATTACAGGCATGAGCCACCATGCTCAGCCTAGACTTTCTCTTTTATCATGAAGATTGCAGGGAGTTCCTTGATTAGGTCTGAGCATTGGAAAGATCTCTCTGGCTACAGTGCGTGGCGAATGGGTAGAAACAGAGCAAAGCTAGAACCAGGAAACTCTTTAGGAGACAGTTACAATAATTCAGTCAGGAAATAAATTACTGACCTAAAATACTGGCAAAGGGATAGCAAAAAGTAGACTCTGCAGGACTAGACATATGGGAACGGTAATGTCAAACACATCAAGATTACCAGGGTGGGCAGCAAGGTGTGTAGGACTGCCGGTCACTCATCCAGACAAGACGGCCAGGAGCAGGTTTGAGAAGGGCATTGACTTAGGAAAGCACTGAGCATGTTTAAATGCTAAAGAACTAGTAGAAAAGAAAAATTTTTTTCTTAAAAATATTATTTAGCAGCTGCTTTTAAAGGAAAAAACCCTTAATTTTTAGAGGTATCGCTGCATTTCTTTTTAAATTTTAATTTTTAATTTTTTAATACAAAAATTAAGTCCACCGTGCCCTGGGCCAGGCCCGCACGCAGCGCCTAGAGCACCGAGGCTATCTCTGCATTTTAAATCATATTTATATTCCTTTCTTCTTCCTCTTTCCCTCTTCCTTCTTTCTTCCTTTCTTCTGCTGGAGAAGATTAATTTTATGTGAACCTCATAGTGTGATTTATAAACTTCTGACTGTAAAGATTAAATACACAGAAACATCAGCATGTGTGTATTTACTATAACTTATTATTATACAGATGAGGGCACTAAAGTTCAAAATGACAGCTGCTAGTCTCATCTAGTATTTATTTCTAGCAGCATGTAGCTAATAGCAGTGGCACTCAGAGGACATAAGAACACATTAACATAATTTTAGAAGCATGAAATAACAGTATTGATTTTCTAATATTTTTATGACTATATTTCCAGAGGTTTTGATTGCTTATAAAGTGATTTTGTTTCTAAAAGAAAAGTAGGGCATAATTGAAAACTTGAAAATAATTCTCCCATTTTCCAAAGATAACAAATTATGTATAATCAGGATATTTATTTCAGTATGAAGAATATATGAAGGATCATAACTATTCTTTATGCTTTGAAGTGTATAGATACATTTACTCTAAAGAGATCCTGAAATAAAACCCAAATGAATGAAGTTGGACAATGAAATTCAAGTTCTTTCTTGAGCTCTAAGTTTTTGGTCTTTGAAATAAAATGAATTTAGTCTATTTATCATTCCCTAATTACAGTGCAACTGTTCTTGACTAAATGCACACACATCATGCTGTTTAAAATAACAATAATACCATATTTGACAGTCACTCACTGAAGTCAGTGCAGCACAGCTGGAAGAGCCTAGTTGATTCCACGTTTTAACATAGTATAAGAAAATCAGTTATCATCCTCATAATAAATCAGGTTTAGCTGGTAGTGCTAACATAAATACTCAGATATGCTCCAGTTGAACCAGCATCATGTATTTAGTTTGAACTTAGGTTTGTTATTGACTGATGAATGCCTGGCTGCTGCCTGGAAGTATATTTTCAATGTCTATGTCTCTTGCTTAATTTCAAATATCATATGCGTGTATTTTGTAGGGAAAGTAGGATATTAAAATATTTTGAAACCAATAGATTAAAATATTTGAGTATAGGATTACACAGAACTGGGCTCTGTGTTACAATTGAAGAAATCTTTTGGTAATGACAAATGTATCAAAACATTTAAATCCGTGTGTTGTATCCCAAAAAGTTTATGAAAAGTTGTTATTTCGCTAGAACCTCTAGGGTAAATATACAAACTGAACATATAAATGTATGTAGCTTAATGCCTGTGAAGTTTCAAAGGAAAACACTGACCAAATACTAATAGAAGTTAGAAATAAGTAGTGGGAAAGGATAAATGAATATTCATTTGGTAGCTCTAGTCATGAATAGTTCATTGGGGCTTAGTGGCAGCATTTGCTTAATAGTATGACATTATTTGGGGAGGTCGATTATAAATTCTCATTGGTACAATACTCCCGTTTATCTTGCCTAGATGATCAAGCAGTGTGTCTAACTACTGTGGTGTGTGGGTCCTTTTTGATCAATAGGTCTGGACAACCATGGCATGCAACACATAGAACATAGCTGGACAGCTTTCTTCCCAGCCTGCTAGGAACAGTCTTACCTCTTCTAAGACGGTTGTTCCTCTGGGGACTAGACTTTGCCCATTAACTGATCAATTCTCATGCTATGCACCATTCATTTTAAAATCACCTTAGCTGAATACTTTTCAGATTATCTCTATCAGTTGGTGCCAGATGGAAACTTACTAGAAGTGTTTATGAATTATACACTGACTTAGGCTTCAAAAAATAGCTATTACAGCCAGATTGTAATGAAGCCCTCATCTTGCTTTTTTATTTTGATCACTTGACCCTCTCTTC